AGAGATATTTACAAGTAACTTTGTTGAAAAGCCATAGGGCAAATCTAAGTGACTCTATCTCTTTTTCTACTTGTGAATTTTCCAAAGTTTTAAGGGATAATTGTACAATTATGTTTCAAAGTAGTTCTTTGAAATTAGCATTGTAAGAACATATGATGTTTAAAAAATAAAAAAACACAATATACTTCAAGAAATGCTTAAAGTATCTGATCTGTTTTGTGTGAATTAAAAATATATATATTCAAGCCCTTGAGTACAATTTTAATTGGGATCTCATCTAAAAATGATTCAAACATAATACTTTGGAATTACTTTTTAATAGTTAGAAAAATTGTCATTAGGATTAAAAATATCTGGTGTGCATATATGTGTGTGTATAAAATGTTTGTGTGTGTGTTTGAAGAATATCATGAAATACATGAGATAATTCTAAAATTTCTGTGATAATTAAAGATATGGAGAAATTTATGGTGACTTTGTCTAATTTTTCTAAGTGGTTTAAAGAAATTGAGACATGTTAAATTTCTTTTTGACAAAGAATAAATTTAATCACATCACTTTTCTTTTTGACAAATGATTATTTTTCAAACAATGTTAACAATACAAATTACCTTATGTCAGCTTACCTTACATCTGCTATCCAAAGCTCATTTTTAAATTAAAATTCTCATGAGCTACTGGCAAAGTGAAAATTAGTGAGTTGGCAAATTGAGGTGACAAATTCTTCCAGAAATGTTTAAGAAGGAATAGCTAGAAAGAAAATATGAGAAAAATAATTACTCTAAAGGATAGAATTAGAAGAAACAGTTTCTCTTTAACGGAGCTTTCGAAGAATGGAAATGGAAAGGAGACAGTATTTATAGAAATAATATTCCGTAGAGCTTCTGGATGTATGGAAAGACATAATATAAATTTCACAGTTTTATTTTCCCCAGAAACAGCACCTAAAACTACCACCTCATGTAGGTGATTCCACGAAGCACAAGTGAAGACTTGAATGAAGCTAAGGAGAAAATGACTTGTTACTGAGCAATGGTGGCGGATTCCTGCTGGAGACTCTGAAGGCCCAACCTAGAACAGGTATCCACTGTCTCCAAGGATAGAGTCTTGAGGTTTATTATTGTTATTATTATTATTATTATTATACTTTAAGTTCTGGGGTACATGTGCAGAACGTGCAGTTTTGTTACATAGTTATACACGCGTCACGGTGGTTTGCTGCACCCGTCAACCTGTCACCTACATTAGGTATTTCTCTTAATGCAAGCCCCCCGCCCCTTGGCAGGCCCCCGTGTGTGATGGTCCCCTCCCTGTGTCCACGTGTTCTCATTGTTCAATTCCCACTTACGAGTGAGAACAGAGGCCACAGAACAGAGTCTTGGGTTTTAACTCCTTAAACTTTTGTCTGCTCCAGGCACCCTGCATAAGCTAATGCCTGACGGCAGAAAAGCTGAGAGATGCAATTGATATCTGAGGTGAGATGCTGCCAGAAGGCCCAGGACACTGTCCACCACTGTGACTGCTGAAACACAGGGGATGCGGAAATGTAGAGGATGACGTGCGGGGCTCAAAAATAAGTCTAATGCAACTTAGACTGAAAAGACTGGTTCAGAAACATCCAAAAGGAAAAACAAGAAATAACTGGCACTAAACACATGCTAGTGAAATTTAAGAATATCAGTGACAATCTCCCAGAAAGAAAACAAAAATAGTCCTCATAAAAGTTAGGAACGTAAGATCGACATAAGCTTTTTCAACTACAACACTGAATGGAAGAAAAAAATGAAATAATATTCCTAAATTACCACAAGTAAAGCATTTCACACTATCATAAATGCAAAGGTGCTACATAAAAGACTCCAGGCATTCAAGAGCCAGAACATTTATTGTACATACAATACATCTGGAAGAAAAATATATAATAAATAGACAATGACATAAAAATAAACATGAGATTTTTGGGGAATACTAGAAAAATGTACAAGTTTTGTTAAGTTTTTAAAGTTACTTGGGGAGTGAACATAATTGTTAAGTTTTCACATTGGTAAGAAAAACATAGAAACACAGGTCAAAAAAGATAGGTGTAAGCATTAGGAGAAAAGCATAACATGTATAAATATACCTTTCTAAGTTTAAAAATTGCAAATATTCTCCAGGTGTGGTGGCTTAGGCTTGTAATCCCAGCACTTTGGGAGGCCAAGGCGGGAGGATCATTTGAGTTCAGCAGTTCAAGACCAGCCTGGGCAAGAGAACAAGACCTCGTCTCTACTAAAAAAAAAAAAAAAGTATCCAGATGTGGTGGCGCACACTTGAGGTCCCAACTACTTAGGGGGCTGGGGCGAGAGGATCGTTTGAGCCCAGAAATTCAAGGCTGCAGTGAACTATGATCATGCCACAGCACTACAGCCTGGGTGACATAGGGAGACTTGTCTAAAAAAAAATACTAATGTTGTAAAATTTGTCATATTTTTAAAAGAAGAGCTAGCCATGGTGGCTCACACCTGTAATCCCACCCTTTACAGAGACTGAGGTGGGAGGATCACTTGAGCCCAGGAGTTGCAGATCAGCCTGGGCAACATAATGAGACACAAAAAAAGAAACAAACAAAAAAAAGAAAAAAAACAAAAACAAAAACAAAGACAAAAAAACTGCATGCACACATGAATACACATTTTAATACAATTAACATACATGTACTCCACTCCCTGATGATGAGCTAGAACATTAAACCTTAGATTCATTTGATCCGGGTTCATTCCTCTTCCTCCCATCTCAACATCATCATATCATGAATTCTTCTTTTCTTGGTTTCAAAGTTTTATTGCCGATCTATTTATCATCTGTAAATTGTTTTTCTGCCTTTTTGTCCTTTATACAAATGGAATTGTCTATTTTATAAAATTTTAAATTCATATTGTAATTTCAGAATCAATAATGTTTATGCATTTAATCATTTGTACTGCTAAATAATATTTTGTAGTATGATTCTACCATAATTTAACCATTCATTCTACTATTCTCCCATTAACGAAAATGTAGGCAGCTGATTTTTTTTTTTATCTATTATGATTGATGTATCTATGGGAACATCACTCCTGGTACCCAGTTGTAAGGTTTGTCCTTGAAATTTTATGATCAGAAGGTACATATAAGTTCAACTTCACAAGAGATTTGTAAATTGTTTTACAATATGGTTGCACAAGTTTACACTCTAAAACCATTAGTGTAATGACAGTATGACTATACCACAGCCCTTCTGTACATGTTTTTTAGTGAAAAGAACTGTGTACATTTTAATACTGACAGGGCAATCAGTATTTTCATTGTGCTATTTACATTTGATTTAAGAAATCCTTACTACTCAGGGAGAAGAAAATACACTCTTGCAACATCTTCTGAACATCTTCTGTCTGCTTGTTCTTGCCGCAATGCCACATAATCTTAATACTGTTAGTAACCCCTGTTCTTTATTTTTCAGGAAAGTTTTGGCTATTTCTTGTCCTTTGTTCTCTCATATAAATTTTAGACTATGTTTAATAAATTCCAAAGTAAAATACTATGAGGTTTTGATTATGAATGCATTCACCTATGATCAGTTGGAGGAGAACTGACAACTTCACCCTATTGCAATCACAATCATAACCTTCTCCCAATATTTACAACTGCATCAATGTCTTTTAATAAAGTCTTATTTTCTATAAGTAAATAATCTGTTTGGGAGGCCAGGGTGTGAAGAAAGCTTGATCCCGGGATTCTGAGGCTATAGTAAGCTATGATTGCACCACTGCACTCCAGCCTGGGCAACGAAGCAAGACGACCATCTCTAAAATAAAATATAAAATAATAAATAAAATAATAAAAAGTAATCTCTGTTATGAGTTGGCATATCTTAATTTTTAGTATAGGTATTATGATCATTTTTAGTTTACATTAAAAATTATTTGTTGTGTATAAAACTGTGATCGACACATTGATCACCCATCCGGAAAAATTAGCAAACTCATATATTAATTTTAGAATTTCCCCATGGTTTCTTTGGAGTTTCTGAATAGACAATCTGAAAATAGTCATGCTTTTGTTGTTACTTCGTTTTTCAATCAATTTTCTTTCTTTTTTCATTTTCATGGTTAGGCCTCCAAGTACAATGTTGAAAAGAAGTGATGACAGTGTATCTGGTCTAAAAGCAACTGCTTTAATAGTGTACCATAAAAATTATATTTACTTTATTATTTTATGATGCCCTTAGTTGACGGCATTTTGCTTTAAATTTCTAGTAACTTAATCACAAATTGATAAAGATTTTTACTAACAGTCTTTTAGTCTATCAAGAAAATAACATATATTATGTTTTCCTCCTTTTGTCTGTTAATAGGGATCAACCCAACTATGTAAGCTTTGTCTTTTCTTTAAGTTTACTACTGGATTCATTTTGCTAATACTGTACTGCGTATTAACGACTAGCATGGTAAGTAATTTTCATTCTCCTATCACTTACCTTGTCAGGTTTTGGTATTAAGGTTTTGTTAACCTTATAAAATAAGGTAACAAATGCTCCTTCCTTTACTTCTGTAAGAGTTTATGTAATGTCAGGTTTATTTACTATTTGATACAACTTGCTTTTAAGGTCACTTGGATCTGGTGTTTCATTTGTGTAAAGATTTTAAAATACTGACTGTAATTTTTAATTGGTAGAGAACTATTAAAGATTTTGAGTCAATCTTGACTCAGTCTTGCTAGAGCCTTTCTAATTTTTTTTTTATTTTATAAATTCACAGGCATGACAGTCATTAAAGCTCTTTAAAGTATATTTTAATATCTGCACCATGTATATTATTTCTCTTTCTTCCTTAAAAATATATCCATATATTGTTTGTATGTGCACGCTTGTGTGTTTGTATGTGTGTGTTTATGATTAGCCAAGACTGTCTGATTTATGATTATTTTCAAAGAACCAACAAGATAGGCTGAGTTATGTGGCAGGTATATAAAATCTCACACTGTTAGTGGTTTGAAATGTGTTTTATTTTTCCTTATACCTCAAACTTAGTGTGATCCAGAGTTTTTGTTTGCTTCTTCGTTTGTTTTTTAATTGTAGATCCTCTCATCAGGTTGCAAGCTGATGGAACACTCTCCATTGGTGACATCATTGTTGGCCACCAGGGTTCGACTGGAAAAGTAGGCCCCAAAGAATCCCCACAGAAATCCTAAGTTATTTCTGCACACAATTTCTTGGTCAAAATAAGTTGCAAAGCCATGCTTGAATTCAATAGGGTGGAAAATGCCTGGAAGCAGAATAAGAACAAAATGTGAAAAGCTCTGATGACATCCATGCCTATGCAAACTTTTGACTTTGTTCACACTCTCTGTTGAATATATTTTTCATTGATCCTGGCTTTAATCTTTATTAATTCCTTTCATCTTTTTCAAAGTTTTTATTGCCGTACTGTTTATGAACTGCCTAAGGCAGATATTTAACATAGTAATTTGCAGCTTTTCTTATTTTTAGATAAGTATTCAAGGGCACAGATTTCTAAGTTCTGCTTAAGCTTCAGCTCACTAATTTTGATATCACCTATTTTCATTATGATTCTTTTCAAACAGTCCTCCAATTTCATTTTGATTTTTTTCCCTGGATATCGTATTTTAAAAATCACAAAGCAATTTTTATTGTGTTTTGAAAAAATTTGATTTTCATTTTGCTATTTTTGTATCTACATCAGTTACTGAGAGGCCTGTTGAAATATCTCAATATTTGAGTGGGTTAGTCATTTTCTCCATAAAGTTCTATAAAATTTTGATTTATATATTTCATACCATGATATTAAGGGCACCTCTGTTAAAATATTACATATTTCTGGTTTTAAAAGGCCTTATTAATACATAGCAAATAACTGTGAATCTACTAAGACATTTGCCTCAAATTCCCATTTGTATGATATTAATATGACTACATCAACTTTCTTTTAACTAGTATTTGCCCGGTTTATTTTTTCTTTGTTTTTTTCCTTTCATATTTGCTGTATGTTTACTTACCAGTAGGTCTCTAAGCATCAGAAAAAAAATGTATTATTATTTGTTAACTCAGTCTCATAACCATTCACTGTAAAGAGCATTTAGACCATATAAACTGCATATGATTACTGGTAGGCTGACAGTGTTTCTATGACCTCAATATGTACTATTTGTCTAAATTTTTTTGTTTCTACTTTTCTTAAAGTCTTTATTAACTTTACAATGATTTTTTCACATTCCATTTTTTGAATTTTACATACATATTTTGCACATGCATATCTACATTTTGTGAAGAAAACTAGATCCTTTAGAACCCTTTAGCTTGATCTCATGGCTCTACAAATACACATTCTAGGTATTTCTCTCTTTTTTTTGTTTTTGTTGTTGTTTTTGGTCTAGGAATATTTGCTTTACCCAATCCCTGCACTTAAGATCACTTTCTTTATATCTGCAATACATTCTTCATATTTATTTTAAGTGAAAGTTTGTTGGTAATAAATGCCATCAGCTTTGTTTGCTTGATTTTTTTCAATTTTTCTTTTGAACTTGAAAAGCTATTTTTTTAATGTAGAATTTTAAATTGACAGCTATTTTTTTCTCAGTTCTTTCTTCACAGTATCCTAAATGGCTTATGGCTTCCAAATGATGTTGTTAGGAATCAATTCTCAGGCCAGGTGCAGTGGCACTTGGATCATAGCACTTTGGGAGGCCGAGGTGGGCAGATCACTTGAGGTCAGGAGTTTGAGACCAGCCTGGCTAACTTGGCAAAATCGCATCTCTACTAAAAATACAAAGAAATTAGTCAGGTGTATGGCACGTGCCTGTAATCCCGGCTGCTCGAGAAGCAGAGGCAAGAGAATCGCTTAAACCTGGGAGGTGGAGGTTGCAGTGAGCCAAGATTGCGCCATTGCATTCCAGCTTGGGTGACCAGGTGAGGCTCTTGTCAAAGAATCAACTCGCAGACTAATTTTTGTTCCCAGGTGATCAACATTTTTATTTGACTGTTTTAAAGGTACTCTATTGTTTATGTTTTGCAGTTTTACAGAGAAAAACAAACAAAAACAATTGGTAAGCAAACAAAACATTGAAAAAGAATCCCTAAAAAAATTGGAGAAATGAAAAAAATAGAAACATGAATATATAAAAGAATGAAAAATTAGAGAAACATTAAAAATTGGAGTAAAACTAACACGTAATGCAACATTAATCTCAATAATTTTAATGCTCATCCATTGAAATACTAAAACTGGAAGACAGCACAAAAATTACTCCTACCATCCCAATAACAGCAAGCAAGCAAGAGCTGCCCAAAAGACAAAAATACTTAAAAAAAAACACCATGCAAAAAAAGCAGAAGATAAAGTTATAAAAAAAAATACTACCCCAAGTCAATATGAACCAAAATCAATCAAGGGTTGGAATTTTTTTGTCAGATAAAGTTAACATCAGAATAATAGAATTTAATAAAATAAGAATTTAGCCAAAAGAGAGGCATGCCCAAAAGATAAAACAACATAATGAAATGATATTACAACTGAATGAGCCATTTCTTTGATAATTTTCTATATCCAACCATCCCAGCCTGTCAATGGCTAACAACAACGTATACTTGTCTTACTGACCGACACAGGTCAAGTGTGCCTCTGCTGCACTCAGCTGAAATCAGCTGAGCTTGTCATTGTTTACAGGTATGCTCTTTAGGTATCCTCTTTCTGGGTTCAAAAATTACCCAGGGAGACATTCTTCTCATCAAGGAATTCAGAGGTATGAAAAGGCAATTCCAAACCGATCAAGTTCATTTAAGCCTCCACTCACCTCATGACTGCTAATAAATATTGATAAAACCATGTCAAATGACTAAGCTCAAAGTCAGTAGGTAAGGGGCGCATTTTCTACTTTCTCTCCAACAATGCCTCACCAGCAAGGCTAGGGATGTATAACTCTATGACAGGGGAGAGTAAGGAATTGGAAAAAGAATTCAGTCAACTTCAAGGATCTGCAGCAGCCAAGCATTGTAGCCTATACCTGTAATCCCAGCACTTTGGGAAGCCGAAGTGGGAAGATCGCTAAAATCCAGGAGTTTGAGACCAGTCTGAGCAACATAGTGAGACCCTGTCTCTACAAAATAATAATAAAAATAAATAAATAAATACATAAATAAATAAAAATTAATTAGCTGGGATGGGGCTGGGCGTCTGTGATCCCAGCTAGTCAACAGGCTGAGGTTGGAGAGCTGCTCTAGCTCACGAGGTTAAGGAGTCACGACATCACTGTACTCCAGCCTGGGTGACAGAGCGAGAACCCGACAAAAAAAAAAAAAAAAAGTAAAAAAGAAAGCATATTTGGGATTGACTTTAAAAAATACATATACGTATATGTATGCACACACGCACACACACACACACACATTTCTTTTTCTTTTTTATTTTTATTGTTTTAGGGAGAAGCGGACAGATCTGTGTTAAATTTGGTGCCAGTTATTCCATCTTGGTCAAAAGTAGATTCCACTGTTTCTTTAATTTGCATTTTCCTCCCAATTGTAGGAAATTTGCAGTGTACATATTTTCTTATTCTTTCATTTATTCCCCCCCCCCCCCCCGGAGATAATACCAGGTTCTTAGTTTGAACAATCTCTTTCTAGATGTAGAAAAAATGAAAACCTGAATAAAAGTGTAATAAAGATAAAAATGTGATGAAATGGTCCTTACAGGGCTGGAATGCGGAAAGTATGAACCTTAGTTCTTACTTTTGTGTTTAGTTATTCATAAAAATAAGAGAATTTCTTTCAAGCAAAATGAAAGCTACCTTGTCATCCACCCATTCCCATTTTGCTCCTATTGATACTACTCCACAGTATTCCTTGACCTCAACTCCCCTTATTCATCACCTTCCATTTCCATGCCTCCATATTTATATTCAGTGGTTAGCACATGTTCCCAAACTAATGGAAAATTCTTATCAACATTCCAGTCAGAAGAAAGTTTCAAGAAGGCCTGTCTGCAGTATAAACCAGACATTACTTTACAGTGAGTGCCAACTACACCATGTGGAACTGTAAAAATTTCCTAAGAGTAATGGAAGAATTCTAAGAGTAAATGGAAGAATGTAATCATGAGAGAAAGTGAGCAAAATGAGATTTAACCTTCTGTTTTGTCCTAAGTTGATTTTACTTTATATGGAACATATTATTATCTTTTATGAGATATGAGAAAAATGTTTAAGTTACCTCTTTCTGTTCATCTTGTAAGAAACAAGAGGGGAGATATTTTATTGGTCATGGTCACCTTGACAAAAACTAATCATTTGGATCTAACTATCCATGCTTGAATCATAGCTTTGGTTCTGAGAGGAAACAGGAGAAAGTGAGCGAGAGTTTAAGTGATTTTTGAGGTGATGAGATATGAGATAAGCAAAGGTATTAGCATTCTTCAATTCTTAATATTAGACACTACTAGGGATGATATTTTTAGAGGAATTTGACAGCATAGTTAATCCTCTGGTCACATAGAGCCACCAGCTGAATGATTGTATTAGTTGTTCATTACTGCATAACAAATTACCCCAAAATGTAGTGGGTTGAAACAACAAACATTTTTCACATTTTCTGTGGGAGTGACCTGGATTTGAAATTTGCTCAAAATCCATTTGTTAATTTTCACCTCTTTTGCAATATGGAGAGGCTGAGAAATTTCAAAACCAACCCCTAGTTACCATTAGTTAACAGTACTTCCCTCAATTTCTTTCTCTCCTTCCACATTTTAGAATAAGCATCAAAAAGAAAGCAAGTAGCATTTTGAATACTTAGCTTGGAAATCTCCTAAGCCAGATCACCGCAGATTTTATACTTTCCATGTTAATGGAGGTAATACTGTTTCTAAGCCTTCTACCCCTTTAGAACAAAGATCCCCCATCCTCCAGTTTCCAAAAACATGTTCCTCATTCTTATCTCCTTTTGAACTTCATTGACTTCCTCAATGTCAAGATTTCTACTGAATCTGTTCAAAGAAACAGGCTTTTCTTAACATGCTTCCCAAATTCCCTTCAGCCTCTGCCCAATGCTAATCCCCAAAATACTTCCAAATATTTAGGTATTTGTTATGTCAACACACTACTTTGATGTACCAAAATATATATTAGCTATTTATCAATGCATAAGAAATGATCCCAAAACTTAGCAACGTAAACCATAGCATTGATTATCTCACAATTTCTGTGCATCTGAAATCTACATGTAGCTTAGCTGGGTCCTCAGGCTCAGAGTTTCTCCCAA